AAACTGTTGTACCTTGTCTGCAAACCCGGCAACAGAGGGTCCATGAGATCCAGTTTGAGAACAATTGCCGCAAAAAAAAAAACAAACAAACAAAAAAAATTTGTTCAGACGCTCTGCCAAATCGTAACTGYTAACACGACACTGCACTACTGCAGTCGTCCGATTGAATTGCACGCATACCTACACTATTCACTATTGTAACGCATGTGATACATAAAATTAATTACGATAATCATCACGAATAATAACGTTCTCACGTTGAACATGTTCAAACAACGTGTTTCGACCATTTCAATCAGATAACGTAAACGCTCATTTCACATCCCGACTACCCGCAAGTATTTTATACAATAATTAACAACTGTTGAAATGACTCAAGTAGTGTTTACAATAGATTGGCCTTTTCATTTCAGTAGATTTGCTAAACCCACGCAAATCGCTAAAATTTGACGTTTATCTATATAAAAGCTAATCATTTTACAAATTCGTTATCCCACAAACCACAAAATAATACTATTTTTTAAGACACGCAATTGTCTGGATATATTGTAATAATTTAAACGTTGATATTTAGTTGATATTTTATCTTAGTTGTTAAAAATAAGCACATTTGTTCACTAAGTCGATAGAATAAGACTGTTAATAATGTATATTAACATTGATATAGGGGAAGGCGGTGCAGTACCGTACGGTTAAGCTTCCACGACTTATAAATCATGCAATTTTTAACGAAATTAAATTTTTTAAACTGGTATATATAGAAAAACTTATGGTTTATAACTTGTATTCGAAACTTTTTTCTATTTTTTTTTTAAATTTGTTTAATTTGCGTTTTACTTTTTTGATAAAAATACGGATTTACCCCAGGTGCGGGGTAAATCCGTATGTACTCTAGGGCAAAATCGTATGAGGGTAATTGTTATACCAAAACACAGTTCATTATATTTATTGGTAAATTATTAATTGGTATTAGACTTTTATTTAATTAACTTGTAAAGTTTAACTAAAATTAGACAGTAGGTAGTAAGTTATGTATGATTTCATTTTCATTAATTAAAAATGTACCTAAACATTGTTTTCAATTCATCAAAATGTCAACAAATTAATAACACAACACAACATGCGATGATAAAACCTACTCCCATTGGCAGTAGTACAACAAATACAACTTACCTGAGTACCTATATAGTTATTATATATAATGTATAACCATACGATTTTGCCCCACAAGACTATTAAAAGTTATCGAGCTTCATATCAAACATTCAGGGCCGTCCTTACAATTTGCGAGGCCCGGGGCAAAAACTCTTTTAGCGGGGCCCACAAAAAAGAAATTCATACTCATTTACATTTTTGCA